CCATTTCTTTCCGTGCACTTCTTTGTATCTTTAATATCAAATTTTCCTAAAATGTGGGAGTCCCGACCCCAGCCCCAAATAAAGTACTAGTTTCCGCGCCTGTAGATGACGTCAATGCAAAGACGTAGTTCAAAGACATTGTATATCATGGATACCATGCTGCTGTGACGTAGTCTACCGGAAGTTTTTCCTGTGCTGATTGTAATGTTAGACAAATATTTTCCCTTCCAAAGTATTCATAAGGTGATGTACACGGCGAGCCTGATGTACTGAGATGATGTTACACGGCGATGTTACGCGGCGATGTGATGTTACACGGCGAGCCTGATGTACTGAGATGATGTTACGCGGCGATGTTACGCGGCGATGTGATGTTACACGGCGAGCCTGATGTACTGAGATGATGTTACGCGGCGATGTCACGCGGCGATGTGATGTTACACGGCGAGCCTGATGTACTGAGATGATGTTACGCGGCGATGTTACGCGGCGATGTGATGTTACACGGCGAGCCTGATGTACTGAGATGATGTTACGCGGCGATGTTACGCGGCGATGTGATGTTACACGGCGAGCCTGATGTACTGAGATGATGTTACGCGGCGATGTTACGCGGCGATGTGATGTTACACGGCGAGCCTGATGTACTGAGATGATGTTACACGGCGATGTCACGCGGCGATGTGATGTTACACGGCGAGCCTGATGTACTGAGAGACCTGTTTGTGTTAAACCGCGACGCACGAGTGCGACCCAACAGGCAAGATAGGCTTCCACACCTCCCTAGGCCAAGAACCGGGACCGTGTTAACACAGAAGACATAGGAGACAAAGTGCTTAGGAAACGTTCGAGGTACCGCGCGCCAGTATTATGTAATGCACCGCCAGCCGACATCACATAGCTGACACGGCAGCATTTCGTACGTGCGGCGAGAGCTCATTCGTTGAACGCTAGTACTCTTGGTAGCCGGTAAATCGGGGTCTGACTGTGTTTTTATTTTGAACCTGCATGTTTTTACCTCCTGAACTTTTGACTGGGAGCTGTAATGGCCACGCTCCATTGTAGATGGCCGTATGGAAGTAATACGTACAAACATACATACCTAGTACATACATATATGCACAAAACGGGTCCAGGAGCTTTATCCCCCTTGCTCTCGCTGAACACAGCACAAATAAAAAACCTGGGTTGTATAACAGTTCATCACTAAATAATATCACATAGGAAACATGCGTAAGTACATTAACTCCAATCGGTCTGCATAGCTATTTGCCCGTCTGGAAAATTCTGACACCTACCAACGGCAGAATACGTGGTTGGTTATCGAAGCCCGCAAGTCGTGAGCTAAAGAGGCGGAACTCGTCGCAGGAGAAACGACGGGGTCGAATGAAGGCCGCAGCATAAGACAGATTACTCCAACCTCAAATACAGAAAAGCCGGACAGCCCCAAGCATTTAGTTTGCACTACTAAAACCAACGCCTATCTCGGACTGGATCTCGCCCTCCCGGCCAGCAACAGCCACCACTTGACGGCTTAAACCGCAGCGGCCGGGTTCTCAGAAAACGGCGATCCTCTCTGACGGAGTTATCTTGACGCTGCTCGGCTTCTGCCGACGTCACGTCTTTACGAGAGCCATAATACCCATAACGCGGCGAACTGCAGCGGCGGAATAAACCCGCCAGCCTAAGCCTGGGGCACCATATCGGCGCACCCGTGCACCTGTGAGCCGGCGGCGGCCAGCAAGGACGCCGTCCGGCTGGGGCCTCCGAGAAGCGGCGATACAATCGGGGCAGCAGCGGTCAGATGAGCTTGATCTTGTCCGCACGGTCCGGCCGCACGGAGACGCCACTTTCGCCGGTTCCGGTCGTGGCCAGTTGGCGAGGTCGGGGTCGACGGGGCCTGAGCTGGCCACGCGCATGGTCCGGCACGGTGCGATAGGGCAGAGAGCACAGCCCAGAGCGCAGCCCAGAGCACGCGGAGGACGTCCGAACAGCGGGCTGCCGCGTGAGTGGTCCAAGACCGCTTGGTCGCCCAAGCGGCGCCGCCTCCGGGGGTGCTGGATAATTACCAGACAAAGACTGACACGTTCCCACGTGAACCTGGTGGGCTGGTATTTTTGTCGACGTGGTTGCTGTGAGAACGTGAGTTAGACAAATGACTTGTCCTCACATTTCAAGGGCTGGGAAGTTATGCCCAATCAAGCCGTGTTAAACACTTCATCGTTCAAAGTTACCCAGCCTTGCTTGTAAATCAAGATATCCATAGCACGGGAAGTCACTTCAGGTTATCTTCCGTATCTTAGCCAGGTTATGAATACGTTCCGTAACTTGAGCCATTAGCTAATTAGTCCTCTGCAGCTTACCTTTATTTCGACACTCCGCTATGCCTATGAGGCGCATTAAGATATCTTTAAATTAGCCTCTTATCTCACGAGCCTGGCTTCTGATGGAATGCGGCGAGATAATATAATGAATTGGGATGGCCATTGTGGATCGCAATTTAAAACTTATATCACCGACGGGCGTGAGGTAATGAATTAGCTTGGCCAACGGACTCCGATGACTTTCGGCCATTCGAAGAGAAGGAGAAGCATTCGAATCTTGGTAACGAAAGCAGAACTACGATGATATAACCGGTTAGCAGGCGCAGAACTGCATAGCTTTTGGACGAGCCCCACTTTGCCTGAATTTGTCGCACCATCCTGCCAGAGTCTGGTCGACGAGATTTTACAGCACCGCCTTGGTTAACATGTAAAGCTATTTAAAGATCAAGCTAGCGATTTGTGACGACAACCCGTCCTCGTCCACGCCCGTTAAGCGATCAAGTTTGAGTCAAGGCTAGTTAGTGAAGGAAACTGAAAGTTGACGATCATTAGGCACCTATAAACAGACACGGGTGACATATTTTTGTCCCTTGTTACTCAGACTAAGCCTTAGCCGTCACGAATCGATAGACCACGTCCAAATGCGGTCGTAATCCGCCAGGGAAGGCGCCAAGAAACAAGCCCAAACGGTCGTCAGACCCCGTGCTGTAAGCGACACGGGCATTTTTCCCCCAACATCGAACACGGACCGTTACGCAGCGCCGGTCAAGCCGCGGCAAACCACGTTAGGAAGGCGTCGGGCGGGCGGCCTTCCGCCAGTTATCGGCGAGGCATCTGGCCGCCCGCCCAGCTCTGTCCAGCTCGGGGAGCCTGGGCTGGACGCCGGCCGCCCCGACCGGCCACCGTTTTACCGCTTTGTTTTGCGGCTGGCCGCCGATAGCGATTAGCCTTTTCTTCCGGTTTCTGCTCGGGTGGACCCGGTCACCCCGCCCAGCGTCCGTGCATGGCGACAGGCCTCAACCAGGGGAGCTTCGAGAGGCCACAAACTGGCGCGGACGCTGCACCCAGAGGTCGCCCTCGTGCTTAAAGATAATCCAAAGGAATTCTTGAGGCGGTTTTCAACCACGTATATGCTCTGTCTTAGTCAGCAGTTCCTCCTGGTGACCGGCTCAGCTGTCGCTCGGGCGTTCGCCTTGACCTGCCCGTGACCCGGGCAGGGCGGGGTCGTCACCCCGCCGCTGCCGCCCTGCGTCGCGTCGGGAGCCGACGGACAGGTCAGCCTGGGGTCGGCGAGGTCTGGTCGCGCTGGGAACCACGGCTGGTCCGTTAGCCCGGGCGGCCTGGGACCACGGAACACGATACTCCTGTGTTTACGGAAGCCGGCTGCTGGACATCAAGCGAGGGAGGAGACAGGGAACTCAGCAGCAGCTGACGAGTGGTGTATATAATATTGCAGGGAACAGCAGAGAAAAATTCGAAGGACAGAGCAGTGGCGGAGGATTTGACAGAACAATGGACGAGCGTCAGTTGGAACAGTGAAGGAATGTTTGACGAAATGTCGTGCGGGGAAACTGTCTCGGTGTTTTCTTGGAACACGAAAGCTTGACAGAATGGGTTAAGGAATTCTGATCGTAAAGCATCCATTTGTCAGTTGTTCAAATTGTGTTGGTTAGTTGAAATGCATCTATTTAGGTTACTATGAGCTATAAAAGAAACTGACGAGCACAGGCATTTTACCGTGCCATAAAGTAAGACTAAACGATTCTACATGCCATTTTATGATCTTGCAAAACACATGAAAAGTGTTTTAAAATGCACAGCTCGCTCCCATCTGTACACAGCCTGCTTGAAAGAGTTCTGGTATTCGAGCACTCTTCACAGGTAGCTCACAATGAACGTAGGAGGACAGAAGAAGAGCGGCCTGAGACGAGCACCAGACGGTTTAAAGTAGTTTGAGTCGTGTCAGAATGATCGTGTGCATTTTGGCATGAAGTCAACGAATCAGCGCTATCAACAGGGCGTTCATGTTTTTCCGGCCAGTTCAGGAAGCATCTAGATCTTTCTGAAGAGCATGTCCCGCCCTGTTTTATCCATGTACACAACTCACTGTCATGACTCCTGATATTATCAGGCGGTGATATACCCCCCACGTCGCAAAACACCATGCACGTAGTTGTCCCAACGACCCTTCACTCGATCCATATTTGCCAACAGGACCAACAAGGGAACCGAGCCCGAAAGAGCGAGTAGTGGCCGGCAACAAAGCGAAGGGCATATGTGGTGCAAAAGATGTTCAGGATACACCGGAATTGCTGACTTTAATGAAGCATGTTCAGCGACGATGCACACTCAGCACGCCGTTCCAGTTGAGCAGACGCGAAGGACGTGGCAATGCTCATGTTTGCGCGACAGGCGTGGTTTTTTGCAGATTCCCCTCGGCGGAAGACTGCTTATCAATCCCCACGGCAAAATGTCCTACTCTCAGTGCATGGTTTCCACGGCAAAACATCAATGGTCCCGGTATGACAAGCGATGCTATGCCACACTCGGTCAGATGTTTGTAAGAGCATAGCAATGGTGCCCTCGACCAGCGCGATGACGGGTCACTGCTCGGGAGTGGGAGCGCCGGCCTGTCCGGCTCGTCGCGTTCTGCCGCCAGGCCGGCCGCGCACGTACCGATTTCTGTGATGCCGGGCTGCTCAGATCAGGGCCGCGCGCGATCGCCGCATCTCACGCTTCGATTGCCCGCGGAATTCGGGTGAGCACGAAGATCGGAAGTAGGCCATCCAGTTCTCGCGCGGCATTCGACAGCCGGTGGGCCGGCTCGCTCGCGCCGGCACGTGCGTCGCCTCCGACGGCTGTCGTTGCCGACGATCCCAGGCGTCGCGTTTCCTCGGCAGCACCACCGGCCTCTCACAGCACGGCAACACGGGCGGTGACACGAAGAGCGGGGCGGCGGGGCACCTCCCCCTGGCGGGTCTTACGAGACACTGAACCGGCAGCGGCGCGCGGCCGTCGAGACGGGCCGCGGCGGTCGGTTCATGTACGTGTGCCCCGCCCCGGCGACGGCGCGAGAAAAAGCCCATCCTCCCGGAAATTGATTCGCCCTCCGCCGAGCGCCGGTCGAGTCAGCAAACACGAGGTCACCCGAGCGCTACGCGTTACGTGGGCCGCGTATGCGATTTTGTGAATCGCCAGGAGGAGCTTTGTTTATAGCGGCGAAACTCCAAGCCTAAGTGGGTATTAGGCTTGGGATGCTAATGCTAATAAAGGAGACATTCGGCTCTTCGCTTGTCCAGGTTTGTATAGGCAAATCTCTTTAATGTGCGGAGCGTATAATGCTCGGATTCCTGGTACCACTTACGCTTCAATTGACCTTACATTACGCTGTCTAATTGCCAACCATTATAAGCGGTGAAATGTTTGGAACAAGAGGCCATCACGGGAACAGATCAGAATAACAAGACCCTGTAGTTTCCGAAGTTACTCGAATGTTGCGATGCCACGGTGACGCTTCGGTTATTCTTCTGTGCAAGAATGCAGTCCTTGGTTCGGTGTATGTTGAGAGTTGCAGCTCCCAGCACGTCGGCCTCCGCTGCGTCAATGCAGCTGCGGTATGTCGCGATTCCCATTGTCTGATCGCAATGCCTGCGGACCGCACAGAATAGTGGCAGTCTACCAATGATTCAACCTCCGACGCCTTGTTGCCTCCGCCATACCACCACAGCGGTGCAAGCCGTCCCTTTCAGCTCCTTGTCATTTCTGCCTCGCGGATCCTGCTCTTTCTAGCTCGCAATATGTTTAACATAAAAAGGCAGTCCAATGACGCCGCCCCTGCATCAATTTACCCGCTACCCTTAGAGCTGTGTTCATACCCGCCCGCTACTCAATCCTTATCGGTTTTACCCACCTCTTACACAATTGTTAGTATTTTTCCAACGCTTCAGCTCTAAATTATGGAAAGCTTTCTTGGGCAATGTTAACATAAGCTTCCTCTTTTGCGTTGATAGTCATAAAAATGACGCATAAGGAGCTGCTAATGAGCTGACATACTAATGGTGAAACGTGCAAGCAGCAAAGCTGCGTAGTTAACGCACTGCATGCTCCGCACGGTCCGCGCTCCATCTGACTTCATCTGACCTTGGGGGGCCGCTGTCACGGATCAATAGCAAGTGTGTGTGATGAATCAAACCTTTCCCCCACGGGCGGATTTTGAAGACAGGGGTACGAAACGATCAGGCTAGGGAAAAGGGCACTTGTCGTCCGATGTCCTTATCTATTTCTGTCTCCCGTTCTGCCATCTGTCCTCTGTCTGCCTTCCGTTCTGCACTCTGTCCTCTGTCTGTCTTCCGCTCTGCACTCTGTTCTTTGATTGTTTTCCGTTCTGCCCTCCCTCCTCTGTCTTCCGTTCCGCCCTCTGTCCTTAGTTTTGTTTTGCGCTTTCTTTTTCTGTCCTGAACGCTGCACGGCTACACAGCTTTGCTCTATATTTATGTCCTGTATCCCGTCTTACCTTAAGTCGACCGAACCTAGTATATTTTCTGTGCCGGGGTGACTTCATCTATGGTTAGACTATGTTAAGTTGCAGGGCCACGGCGGAAGGTCGTCGCTATTGGAAATCATATCGATGATATATTCGTGGGATATTTCGACTGTTGTTGGATTACTGTTTTGCAGCCGAAAGCACTTTTAACGATGTTCTTTTTGAATCGAGTCTTACCAGCAGCGCCGGTGCGAAAAGCCGGAGAGTGGTCGGACCCGGCCGGTTTGGGAAGCCGAGGCAATGGTCAGTTGACGTAGATATTCCATGGCCATAATCTATGCGAGGTGAATAGAGAGCACGAGATAAGCGCATCATTGTTCATTTTATCAAAGCATAATGTCGAATGTGCGGTTGTGCAATTTTCTAATTAAAACTACCAGCAGCCATTAGCAGATTATGTTGCAAAATAAGCCTCCATCAAGCTCTTGGTTGTGTAGGTCCACGTCAAGAGCCGGGCATCCATGTGGCACGTATTGGTAATGCAGTGCTGCCATTAATTTTCAAGACATGCCCGATTCTGCCAATTCCTCGTGCTTGAAATGGGGTCAAATTTAGTACCAAACTGACCGTAACGTAAACGCAATTGAGTACAAGTGTATTCACCACGAAGGAACATGAAGTTGGCGTTTTTTTTTTTGGGGGGGGGGAGCTGGATAAAAGCATCCTTTTCTATGAAAATCGTTTGCATTCAATCAAACATTAATTTCTAGCAGGTAAAAGCAAACGTTGACTCAAAGAGGGTCAGCTGAAAACTCCTAGTCACAAAAAATGCACATAAAATAAGCTGCCACGCTTGACATTAATGCGTCTGAAGTCCCGTTAGCGGGATGCTTGAATACACCACTTCATTAAATATGGTGACGTCGCCAATCAAAATATTTGCCATGACACTTTTGACAGGCTGTTCATACCTTGCTAATGAGGTGGAGCTATTGTTACCGTACCGCCTGTCAGGCCATCGACGTGCCGAGTTTCAGAACACCTGACATATTAGGTTAAGGCAACTTATGTTAAACAATGCCTGGCAGAATATGATCTGCGCTCTCTGTGCTCATTTTTCGCCTGTAGCATTCTAAGCCAAATGCGTACATTAAAGAAGCTTCCCCTAGTCTGTCCGCTAGCGGCAGTAGGTCATGCTTTGACTGGTGCTATGAACGTCTGGCTCGGAACTCAGCGCGTGCCGGATAAGGTAAGTTTTACACCCACAGCTTATGCACAAGGTAAGTTTTAAGTCTGGGTTGGGAATCTCACCAAAATGGGTCTAAATGCCTCGAAAGCAGCGCGGAATCGTTTCTGTGGCGGTATGCTGCTCCCATGACTCAGGATTCCAAAACGTTGCTTGGTCACGGCGGACAGGAAGCAGTGAGTCGACATTTGGAGCACTTGGATGGGAGAGCTAACCTCTGAACAAAACAAAAATCACATATACTCTGTACTTTATACTATTTACCCAAACTATTAACTACAATCTGCTTAAATATCGCAGAGCTGGAGCAAAAATAAATCGGATGCACGTTTCATCTGATGGATCTTGAATCAGCTGGGGAGGAGTATTTCCAACGTGGTAAGTGGGTTAAGTCATGTGTCAGTTACTTCTCCTGACACGAGATAGCACACTTTGAATCCCATCCACGCGAGCGGGCCACACCCGCCGGGGCATGATTGCAGCTAATGCGTACATGGGTGCAGCTGAACACAGGTGCATCCTAGTTTAGACAGGTCATCCCATTCAAATCAGTACCCAATGACAGAACACTCATCACGTCTTAACATCGGCACACCTTGTTAAACAAGTACCATAACCTCCGCGAGCATAATCCATCTCGCGGCAGTGGAACAAAAGTCGGCGCGGCGCGGCCACAGGCGCAAACTGAAGCCACCATTGTCTCGAGGCGCGGCGCAGGTCGGCAGGTAATTTGAAATATCGCTCGAGAGCCGGCGGTAATCTCAGCGGACAGATAGACAGAGTGAGCGCGGGGAAGGGAGAGGGGGAAAGAGGAAGAGGGCGATGCAGAGGGAAGAGAAGGAGAGAGAGAGGAGAGAGAGAGAGAGAGAGAGAGAGAGAGAGAGAGAGAGAGAGAGAGAGAGAGAGAGAGAGAGAGAGAGAGAGAGAGAGAGAGAGAGAGAGAGAGAGAGAGAGAGAGAGAGAGAGAGAGAGAGAGAGAGAGAGAGAGAGAGAGAGAGAGAGAGAGAGAGAGAGAGAGAGAGAGAGAGGAGAGAGAGAGGAGAGAGAGAGAGAGGAGGAGAAGGAGAGAGAGAGAGGGAGGAGAGAGAGAGGCAGAGAGAGAGAGGAGAGAGGAGAAGGGGAGAGAGAGGGAGAGGGGG